TTTGTTAGCAAAAATATCACCAAATTTTTGGGCACTCCAGTCTTTAATATTTGTTTGGAAAGCATTGAGGGCATCATTGAAATCCTGTTTTGCCAACTTTGTTTGACAACCTTACTGAACTCCAGGTGGCTGAGCCAATATTTTTCAAGCCTAAAGGGCTTGTTAGTATTGGTAGCAATGGGATTTGTTAGCCTAATTAAGAGTGAATTATGATCGGAGTAAGTTTTGGGCAGATGGGTTATGCTTACTGAGGGGTAGGATTCTAACCAGGCTTCATTAGCAAGACATCGATCTAGTCTTTCTAGGATGAGCCCATGTCTCCTATTTCTATGGTTTGATCATGTATAACGACAACCCTTGAATCCTAAATCAATTAAATTACAGTAATTAATACAAGACCAGAATCTCGAAGTCCTATTGTTACTAATATGCCTGCCTCCCCCTTTTTCTTCCTGTGTCAGTACATCATTAAAGTCACCACCTATAAACCAAGGCCCTTTGTAATTATTAAAAATAGACTCACGATATTCCCAAAGAGTTATTCTATTAGCTACATAAGTACTTGCATAGATGGCACTAAAAAGCTAAGAGTTGTGATTGGGAAGTACCTGGACTAGGGCATGCAGCTCTTGATCAGTTTGCCTAACACGTTCCACAACCACCATGGTGTCCATCCATATAATAACTAGACCACCAGCTCTTCCAACAGCTGGAATCTCAATTAGGTCTAAAAAATTAAAGTTTGCCCTAAGAGTTGCATGGTTCTCCATTTTAGTCTCCAATAAAGCTACCATGCATGGATTATGGTTGTTAACCAACTCTCTAAAGTTGCATCTAAAATCAGCATTATTTGCACCTCTAATGTTCCAAATGATTATGCTGGTGGGTGTGTTCATGAATGAGGAATAGTTTTGGTGTGAAGCTTCATAAGGGTTGGTTCCCCTCATCTTGAACTGACTGTCTCTCAGTGTTGGATTCAGCAGGACAACATACTTTGCTGTGGCTATGGTGATTGGTGGTGTTATCTCGATTGAGCATTTTTGAAGAGCTATCGGGCAGCGGAGTGTGTACTTCTTGTCTTCCCTCTTCGGGAATAGCATAAGGGTTGTATCTCTTATTGTTGAGATTTTTATGAAGAAGCTTCTTCCCGGAGGGTAGGGAATCACCACCTCTTCTATTTCTTGCACTTCCTGCCCTGGATTTGCTACTTGTTCCATCGGAGTAGCCATGTGTGGTTGATGCTGAGTTGGTTGTGGTAGACAAGGAAAAAATAGTGGATTCATCTCTATTTCTCCTGGGGTGGGAAAAAAGGAAGATCGAACATTTGATTCATGTTCAGTAGGGGATTGAAATGTTGGGGCGGATTCCAGTGGTTGTGCATGGCATGGTACAGTGCAAGAGCTACCGCCGGAGCCAGTGGGTCGAGAATGTTGGCCATCCACATGCGATTCATGTAATTGTCCATTACCATTCTCATCCCCTCTGTCACAACCTGGGCTAGGAAGTTTGGGTTCTGTATGATCACCATGATTTCCTGCCCTTCGATTATCATTGAGAAAAAAAGAGCTTGACCATGGAGACCCTGCTCGATCCACGAAGTTGGTTGATGGTTTGGGTGTTGTGGTTGTGTTGCATCCACTAAGTTTGGAATTTGCATGGGGTTGTTGGGGTTGTTGTGATTGTTCATAGTGGGAGGTTGGAAGGAATGTCTGGGCACTCTGTGAGTTAGTAGTGCCAGTCAGTTCCTCTTATTTAGGGGTAGTAGTAAATTTGTCTTTTAGTGTGGTGCCTTTTAAAAAGGATGGAAAAACTGATTTGAAGGGGAAAATGATTGCAAATATTTGTGGAAGATTGAAATTGCTTGTGATTGGGTGAGTTAGGCCTGTGGGAGTATATAGAATCAGTTTAATGAGTTATTTCCATAGCTATGTCCATTTGGACGACCTCTGTTGAGAAGTGTTGATCAATGTTTGGGGTTATTAGTGACTTGTCGTTTGTGGAGTGCATTTTATTTGCATACAAGTTATGATGCTTGGCTAAGTTAGAGTTGTCAGTAGGATTAGGATTTGGCAGCACATTGGGTTGCAAGTGTTTAGGGTTTCCATTATTTTGAGCCACGTTTGTTACACGTGTCGACTCCACAGTGGTTGTGTTCTTTGGTTGTACCGAAGAGTTTAGGCGTGGGGTAGAGTGAACGTTTTGCAGGTCTAGTGGATTGCTTGTGGGAATACTGGTTTCTCCGTATTCTTCTTGGAGAGCACCAAATTTATTAAAGGAGTTTGGGTATTGCCTATTAATTTTCTGTTTTCTTCCTAGTCTATTATTTGTAAAATTAGTGAGTAGTTATTTTTTATTGATTAAGCTAGAGCTAGGGCAGTGAGAATATTCAGAGTCTTTAGATTTGAAAGCAAGCTTATGGGTATGAAGGTACTTACCTGTGGCGGCTTCAAAGATTTTTACATTAATACCTGGGTCTCCACCTTGTGAATTTGTGTGTTGATCAATGGATGGTCCTGATTCCTTCTCGTCATTTATGGAGGGGGTCTCCTTCTCCCGTCAAAAGACACAATTTGCCATTGGTCGTTGGAGTGGTTGATGGTGGTGACTGCTTGGACTTCTGCTTCGCTGTGTGGAGATGGAACTTTAGCGTAGGTACAACGATGGATGGTATGGCCTAGCCTGCCACATAGTTTGCAGAGGATTTTCTCTCCTTCATAGATAATTTGCTGCTTGTATTACCTATGAAGATGCAAGTTTGGACTAGTTCGTCAAGAGGCATCTCAACACACAGCCGTGCATATCTTTCTCGAAGTGTTGCACTAGTAGATGCATCTATTTTCAGCAGTCGTCCAATGGTGTTGCCTATTTTCCTTAGTATAACTGCATCGTAAAATTCAGTGGGTTGCTAAGGAAGGCATATCCAAATAGCTGATCTTTCCCGTGTTACCACGCTTGCGATGAAATTGGGTTCCCATTTCTTTATAGAGAGGAAAAAATCATTGACAAACCAAAAACCATTTTGTAGTGCAGTGATCATGTTTTCCTCTTTGTTGAATTTCACAATGAAGTAGTCAGACCAAGATTAATGAGAGGAAAATTTTCTGATGGTTTCCACATTTCTTGTATTTTCTTTTTTAAGTATTCGATGACTATATAAGTCCCTTTAATTTAATAGAGATTTTATTCATTAAAATTCAGATAATATTATTGACAACAACAAAATAAAATTAAAATTAAAAAATATTTCAGATTAATAAAATATACATATCTTCTCTTATTTACAAAAAGAAAGCGAGCATACAAAAATATTAAATAAAATAATATGCTAATAAAAATTTCTATTAACAATGTAAAAATACTAAACATTGGATAATAGAATAAAGAAAAATATAGAACAAAAAAGTTATTCAATGACTATATAAGTCCCTTTAATTTAATAGCGATTTTATTATTGAGTATATCACATTGACAAATAAGATGACAATTGAAATTTATCATACTATATTATAAGTGTGAAGACTTTTAGGTTAAGTTACTAAAATATCCTTCAAAAATTGAATGACTAAATTACCCTCTACTTAATGATTCATCTATTATTATTATTATATATGCAATATTATGAAGAACTCAATAGTCATTTTTTCTTCTTCTTTCCGTTGTTTAATATATCAATAGTTACTTCTTTAAAACTATCTCTTAATTAGCCTCCCACTCTTCCTCCTCTTTGATTTTCTTAATTAGCTTCCATAACCCATCAATTGCTACTTCAAGTTATTATCCACAGTACTTCAACATTTGCAAGTAGCAAGAGATGTGTATGCAAGGAACAAAGATCAAATAATGAAAGCGGAGAATTGGACAATCGATAACATTCTATATGAGATACAAAGTGCTATTAATGTATCTGAAACCCAAAACATGAAATGGAGTCTTCAAACGTCTGTATTGCTTATGAGTTTGTTGTACTTCTTTTGCTCTTTTATTTAGTGTTCTAAATTTTCTCTGAATGTTTAGGTGGAATGTTGAGATGCTTGCAATTATAGTCATATCATGAGTATTTACTCTTTCTGATGATGATCTTGGACTAAACACAATATTTGGTCTTGGTATGTTTATCATGGCTAACATTTACAAAGTCGTACTAACAACTAGCCTTTGCAGTTATTGTAAAATATTGACTGTTAAGACTTAATTGCTCACGAACTGCAGGTTTGTTCATGTCATCATTGATTGGGTGGAAAACAATTATTTGAAATTTCAAAATATAAGTATCATGGGATGGGAAAACGTTTATTCTGTCCTATTTCCTCCCCATTAGTAGCTAGCATTTTTGTTTTTTAATTGTATTTTAGGTTGATACTGACACATATTTCTCTTTCTTATACGATGTTGAAGTTGTTATTTTCCCAAGCACTATGTTTGTTTATGTCATTTTTGTCTGTTGTCGTTCATTTGAGATAAGTCGTTTTATTTCTAAACTAAGACAAATCGCTATAACATATTTTAAATTGAGTATAGAATTATATGAAATTTGAATTGATCTCTCTAACTAAGTTAACTAGCAAGAGTTGTAAATATTTTGTGCTGTTTTTGTCCTTAATATACGTGGATATTGCATCTTGATTTTTAATATTCTTTAATGAAGGTTTGATTTCCTTTGTTGTTTGATACTAATCTTCCAATTTATATTGTTTGTATTTATCGACGTCCAAAAACTAGTTAAAACAATACGATCTAATTTGTTCAAACAAATCCTATCACAATTTAATTTAATTAATATTTTTAATATTAATTGTGCGGGTACTACTACTAATTAATTTTAATATAAATACCTAGTTTCTCAAAAATAAAAGTGTGTTAACCAAAAAAGCAAAAACGAAGTATAATCTACATGTTGGAAAACAAATTATTTGTTAAATACCGCTATAACTTGGAAATGCATGTACTTGGAAAATATGATTATAAAAAAGAGTAAATAAATTACGAGGCAAGGGTAACACGACAGATATAAAATCACAGGAAGAAGAAACATCAGAAACCAGGGAACTGCTTCGGTGAGGAGCGTGGAGAAACTCCCTTTGTCGTTTCAGATTTGCCCTAGCCGTGCATTACAAAACTGATTCACCATTGTTGGTAAGTTTTTCTTCCCAATATGCTCCCGTGGTTGTTCTTCTAGGGTTTTCCTTTGCAAAATGTTAAACTATTATTATAGCAGTTAAAAAAAATTAGGGCATTAACATAGTTTTGATTTCACAGATTGATGAAAAGTAAAAAACTAAAGTGAGCGATGCCGTTGTTTATGTCGGATGAGGAATACGAGCGGTGCTCGAACGACGCCGTGTTGGTATCTGAAAAAGCTGATGAATTCATACGCGATTTATACAATCAACTGGAGACTGTGAAAGCGCAGGCTGATGCTGCATCCGTTACTGCCGAACAGAGTTGTTCCTTCCTCGAACAGAAGTACCTCTCGCTTAATTCAGAGTACTCTGAGCTTCAATCGCAGTACTCTGAGCTTAACTCGTCGTTTGAGAGACGCCTCTCTGAACTCTCTCAAGTACAAGCCGAGAAGCAGCAAGTTCACATCCAATCTGTAAGTCTTTTCTAATTCCTAATTCCTTTTCGTGTACTTTTGATATGTTAGTGGTTTCTCCTTAGTTAGTGCACCCTAAATTCTGTATTTTTTTTTTCTGTTGTATTTGATTGTTTTTCCGGAACATGAAAACAGATTGGAAAGGATGGAGATGTGGACCGGTTATCCACAGAGGCTTCAGAACTGCGGAAAACAAAGAGGCAGTTGATGGAATTGGTGGAGCAGAAAGACTTGGAGATCAGTGAGAAAAATTCCACTATCAAAAGCTATCTTGATAAGATACTTCACTTGACTGAAACTGGTGCGGCTAGGGAAGCGCGGGTCTGTGACTTGGAGACTGAAGTATCACGCTCTCAGGCTTCTTGTTCGCGGCTTTTGCAGGAGAAGGAGCTTGTTGAGAGGCATAATGCATGGCTGAATGATGAGTTAACAGCCAAGGTCAATGATCTCATGAAGCTGCGTAAAGTGCATTCTGAGCTTGAGGCGGATATGTCTGCCAAACTTGCTGATGTGGAGAAAAAATTTAATGAATGTGATAGGTGTTTGAAGAGGAAAGAGGAACAGGTGAGGGAATTGGAGTTAAAGTTCACTTCTCTAGAGCACGATTTATTAACTTCCAAGGATGTAGCAGCTGCGAAAGAGGAGCAAATGTCTGGGGAGATTGCAACCTTGAACAAGCTTGTGGAATTGTACAAGGAGAGTTCTGAGGAGTGGTCTAAAAAGGCAGGAGAACTTGAAGGAGTAATTAAGGCTTTAGAGAGTCATGGAAACCAAATAGAGAATGACTATAAAGAGAGGCTTGAAAAAGAAGTATCTGCAAAGAAAGAACTAGAGGAGGAGGTTGCATGCTTGAAAAATAAGCTTGTGAAAAGTGAAGCAGAATTGAAAATTAGGGGAGAAGATACACTGAAACTTCTTCCTTTGAATTATTTTACAACGGAATCATTGCCAAACTCAGTTGAAACTAGTGACATGGTTGAGGATGATCACATGGTTGTACCTAGTCTACCTATTGGTGTTTCAGGAACCGCATTAGCAGCTTCACTTCTTCGGGAGGGTTGGGGTCTGGCTAAGATGTACACAAAATATCAGGAAGCTGTTGATGCTCTACGACATGAACAATTGGGAAGAAAACAAGCTCAAGCTGTATTAGAGCGTGTACTATGTGAAATAGAGGAGAAAGCTGGAGTTATCTTGGACGAGCGAGCAGAACATGAAAGATTGGAAGATGCTTACTCTGTGCTAAGTGAAAAAATGCAGCATTCCCTCTCTCAGCAAGCTGATTTAGAGAGGAATGTTCTGGAATTAAAGGCTGATCTGAGAAGTCGTGACCGTGATTATGCAGTTGCTCAGGCAGAGATAGTTGACCTCCAAGAACAGGTGACAGTTCTTTTAAAGGAATGCCGTGATATACAACTCCGTGGTGGATCAGTGGGACCTAAAAATGATGATTCTGTGGTGTCAGATTCTGTATTTATGTTTGGTGCTGAATCTAATGCTGATAATGCTGGAAGGCTGTTGAGCTACAAGGACATAAACAGTCTGGTTGAACAAAATGTCCAGCTAAGAGGCCTAGTTCGCAGCCTTAGTGACCAGATTGAGAACAGAGAGTTAGAGTTGAAGGAAAAGTATGAGAAGGAGCTTCAGAAGCATATTGATGAAGCTTCCTCCAAGGTTAATGCTGTACTGGAAAGAGCTGACGAACAGGGAAGGATGATCGAATCACTCCATACAGCTGTGGCAATGTACAAACGGCTTTATGAAGAGCATAGAGTTCATTCATCTGATACTCAATCTCAAAAATTGGCGGAGGTTGAAAGACAGGAAGTGATGCTTTTGCCTGATACTTCACATGAAGCTTTAGGGAGAGCACAAGAACGGGCTTTTGAGCGTGTAAAATGTCTCGAAGAAGAGTCATCAAGATTACGGAGCGAGTTAATCTCTCTTCGATCCGAGCGTGAGAAGTCAGCTTTGGAAGCACAGTTTGCTCGAGATAAACTTGACAGATATGTGAAAGATTTTGAGCTCCAGAGAGAGGAGCATAACGCTGTCCTCATGAGAAATGTTGAGTTCTCACAGTTGATAGTTGACCACCAGAAGAAACTGCGAGAAAGTTATGAGTCATTGAATGCTGCTGAGGAGCTTTCTCGAAAGCTAAAAATGGAGGTCTCTATTCTAAAGAACGAAAAGGATATGCTGATAAATGCCGAGAAGAGAGCTTCTGATGAAGTGTATAATCTGTCACAGAGAGTGCACAGTTTGCAGGCCCATTTAGATACATTGCAGAGTACAGAAAACGTTCGTGATGAGGCAAGAGCTGCTGAGAGGAAAAGGCAAGAAGAGTATATTAAATGCATTGAGAAAGAATGGGCGGAGGCTAAGAAAGAATTGCAAGAAGAGCGTGATAAAGTTCGAAACCTTATGCTTGAGCGAGAAAGTGATTTTAAGAATGCATTGAGACGAGCTGAGGAAATGGGGAAAGAATTGGCCAGCACTTCACGTTCCTTGGCTGCTGCCGAATCTAGAGCTGTTATTGCTGAGGCACGATCTACTGATTTAGAGGAAAAACTGAAAGCTTCACAAGGAAAGATGTCTGAGAGAGCTGATGAAGGTGGTCCTTCCTCTGCTACTGAGCTTTCTGGGGACATGCACTCTGCTGAAGAAGTTAAAACACTCAAAGAGGAGATGCAGGCTAACAAAAATCACATGCTGCAATATAAAAGCATAGCTCAGGCGAATGAAGAAGCATTGAAGCAGTTGGAATTGGCCTATGAGGACCTCAAAGTGGAAGCTGATAGAGTGAAAAAATCAATGGAAGAGGAAGCTTTATCGCTTAGGAAACACATTACTGATCTTGAGAATGAATGTACTGTGAAGTCAATTGAAGCAGCTTCTGCAACTGCAGGGAAAGAAGAAGCTGTTGCTGCTACTTTAGCTGAAATATCCAGTCTGAAAGAAGATAACTCTGCTAAGATGTCACAGATTTCTAATTTGGAGTCTCAAATAACTGCTTTGAAAGATGATTTGGACAAAGAGCATCAAAGATGGCGTGCCGCTCAAGTTAATTATGAGAGACAGGTAATCTTGCAGTCAGAAACAATTCAAGAACTGACTAGAACATCTCAAGCTTTGGCTGCCTTACAAGAAGAATCATCTGAGCTCCGTAAAATCTCAGATATTCTAAAAACTGAAAATAATGAATTGAAGGCCAAGTGGGGGGCAGAGATGTCGGCGCTAGAAGTATCAAAAACTGAAGCCGAGAAGAAGTACACTGAGGCTAATGAACAGAACAAGATATTACTTGATCGGCTTGAGGGTTTGCACATTAAACTGGCTGAGAAGGACCGTGAATCTTTAGGTACATCTTCTGGAAGCACGACGGCCGAGAGTGATGATGGGTTGATGAACGTAGTGAATTATCTAAGACGGTCTAAGGATATTGCAGAAACAGAAATTTCTTTGCTGAGACAGGAAAAACTTCGGTTGCAATCGCAACTCGAGAACGCTCAGAGGAGGGCAGATATAGCAGAAGCATCACTTAATTCTGAGCGAGAGAATTCAAGAGCTCAGGTTTTAAATGAAGAGGAGTTTAAAGCACTGCAGCTTCAGGTTAGAGAACTGAACTTACTTCGTGAAAGTAACTTGCAATTGAGAGAGGAGAACAAGCACAACTTTGAAGAATGCCAGAAACTTCGCGAAGCTGCTCAGAAGATGAAGATTGAAGTAGAGGGTCTGCAGAAGCTCCTCAATGAAAGACAAGAAAATGTGGAGGCTTGTAGGAAAGAGATTGAAATGCAGAGGCTGGATAAGGAGCAGCTCGAGAGAAGGGTTAATGAGTTGGTTGAGAGGTGTAAGAGTTTTGATCTGGAAGAATATGCTAGTCTGAAAGAAGCTGCTCAACAGATGCAAGTGAATTTGAGAGAAAAGGATGCAGAACTGGAGAAGATTAAGAAAGTCATATCTGAGCAGCAGAATCTGGTTTCTAGCTTAGAACAAGACCTCACAAGGAGCAGAACAGAATTGAGTCAGAGGGAATTGAGAATCAACGAGGTTTTGCAAGCTGAGGCCTCTCTGAAATCCGAAGTTGATAAACTCAGAAGGTTAATTGCTCAACTGAAGAAGAGGGCAGAGAACTTATCAAAGGAAAAGGACAACTTATCAAAGGAAAAGGACAACTTATCAAAGGAAAAGGACAACATATCAAAGGAAAAGGATGATTTGGCTAGAGAGAATCAAGCTCTCTCCAAACAATTGGAAGATGCTAAACTGGGGAAAAGAACTGCTGATGCTGCAGATGAACAGGCCTTGAAAGACAAAGAAAAGGAGAAAGACACCAGAATCCAGGGGCTTGAGAAGATGGCCTTTCAGCTCAGAGAAGAGTTGAAACAAGGGAAATTAAAGCGTTTCAAGACTCAAAAGACAATAAGTGACTCCTATGAAACTGTGACTCAGCAACGGTCCAAGCTATTAGATGAACTGGACAAGCATAAGCAGGCTTTGAAGACGCTTACCGATGAAGTTGAGAAGGTAAAGCAAGCCAAAAGCAGTCAAACAGAGGGCACATCAGTGGATCAACTCCTTTCCGGGACTCACTTAGAGGACTTCACTGCTGCATATTTTCAGGCTGTAGATGACTTTGAAAGGGTTGCACGTGGTGAGCTCGGGGTTACAGGTGCCACCGACATTTCTGCTCCAGATGCTTCTGTTTCTGGCTCAGTTGTACCTGGTCCAGCAGCTGCGCCTTCGCCACCAGCTAGCTTGTTGACTTCCACTCCTGTGGTGGGAAAAGTTGTTTTATCAAAGATGACCTCTGAAACTCGTAAAACAGGAAGGAGGTTGGTTCGACCTCGCATTACAAAGCCAGAAGAACCTTCAGCTGATGTAGAGATGCAAGATACGGATGTATCTAGCAGCAGTGGGAAGCACATAACAACACCTCAAAATGCAGAAAATCTAGATAATGCAACATTAGCAACTCAACCACCAATTCGCAAGCGCCCTTCTGCAGCGTCTACCTCAGAGTTACAAGAAGAGTCTTCTGCCACGGGTGAACCCTGCTTAGATGTGGCTCAACCTGTGCTTAAGAAGTCCAAAGGTCTAGAGGCACCTCAAGAAGGTGGTGAAGAAAAATCTGTTGGTAATGTAGAAATTTCAGAATCTCTGCCTACTACAGAGGAACATGATGCTGGAGATGAAACCCAAGGTTTCAAAGAGGAAGCCAGTGACACTGAGAAGGATGAGACTATGCTTTCTGGCGAGCAGGTTGAAGAGCCGGCAGTTATTGCAACAAATCAGGCTGAGTCACAGGTTGATAGAACAGATGGTGCAGATGATACTTTGGGAAGGCCTAGTGAAGTGTCAACTCCAGATAATGAATCAAAGTTTCAGGTGGAACAAGAGAGAGAGCAGCTAGCAGCTGACGAAAGGGAAGAGGGAGAGCTAATTGCTGATCCTGAAGATGTTGGAAATCTCGAGGGAGGTAGCAATTTATTAATGGGAAGCCCAGAAAATTTAGAACCTCAGGCTGAAAGCTTAGCTGGTACTGATGAAGACGCCTTGCTTACTCCAACAGACACTGGGGAGATTGAATCTTCCCAGCTCCCAGATGATGATAAGAATGATGAAGTCGATACAACAGAAGAGCTATCTGAAAGCTCTGATAAGTTGAATGATGGCGGTGACCAGGTTGCTACTGAAACTGATCAGGCTGTGGATGCTGTTGTTACTGGTGAGAAACCATCAAGCAGTTCAGTTGACAGTAGCATTTCAAAAGAAGGGGGGGCGGGTGACACTGCTGCAGCTGAAACAGAAGAAGGGAAACAGGTTTCACCTGTCAATAGGAGCTCAAGAACCATAAACTTGAATGAGAGGGCTAGAGAAAGGGCTTCCCTTAGGCAGGCTGGTATGCTTTCCTCTACGATGCCAAGAGGCCGTGGCCGAGCTCCTCGGGGTCGTGGTGGGCGCAATGTGCGTGGTGGTCGCGGTCAAACCCCTGGTTCACAGGGTTAATTATTTTGCATTATCTTTTATGACAATTATGTGGGAGCTCTGGTTCCTCTACGCAGCCTTTCATTCTTCTGTAAGTTATAATACTTCTAATAAACATTTCATAAATCAATTTCATTCCATCTCACTTGTTGAAAAATCAATTTCATGCAACACAGTTTTGTGCTTTTATAAGAAGAAACTTTAAAGGGTATGCTTTAAATTGTAGTGGATTTTTAGTGCAATTGTATGAGTTCTATGAGAAAGAGGACCGACCAAGTTTATTTTGCCCTAAGTGTTTATTACTGAATAAATGAAAAGATCCCCCCTTTTCTCCTTTTCTTGAGAGAATACCTCTCATCCACAAATTATCCGAGTGAGACATAGAAGAATAAGATTAGATTTCATTTGGTGATACAGGAAGAACAAATTGGCTTATATTCTACCTACCCCATATCCTTCTGCCAATATATGAACCTCTGTTTGTGTAGTTTGACCATCATTCCAGACCAAGTCTTATCCAAAGTTGTAGTTTCCTTTCTGGATAGGTAACCAAAGTTAGAGTTGTACAATTTATCGCTTAATTGAAAAGAGGAAATGACTAGAGAGGAGTTGATCTGATACTATTCCCAATTTATTGAATTAAGATTGTGAGCAATGAAGACTAGTCGGTTATGAAATTGTGACGAGAATTCCTCCTTCCTAGATGTGGAAATTCTAGTCTGTAAAAAGATGGATGGAAATTGTATTCTTTTGACAAGATGTCCACAATTCGTTCCTTCAATTGCATAGATCCAGGACCCCCAGCATTCTGAATCTAAAATGGAAAAATCCAAACAAATTTGTTTCCCC